AATGCACAGGCTCTATGCAAACTCCCAGTAAAACTAATTCCTCCTTAGGCCTCACTTTTCTCATCTGTAAAATGGGGGTGATGCCAGGACATAAAGAAGATGCAGATAAACTGCTGACTGTAGGGGCCTGGCCCCTATCAAAGCTCCCAAGAAACAGAAGCTCTTTTGTCACTAGTTTCACAGCCACGAGTGACTTGGCTTGCGGCTCTCCTCCCGTGTTCAAGGGCTTTAAACCTGGACGCTCACACCCACTAGTGAATGAAGACCGTATGTTTTAACCAACATGTGTATTTCCAGCACAGTCGATACGCATCACCTCACTTGGTCCTTAAAATGAGCTGGGCCACAGGCAGCGTACAGGGTTTGACCTGACCACTCGTGTTTTGCAGAGGCTTAAACACTGAGAGCTTTTCCAAAGTCGCACTGGCCAATCTAGCCTATGGATCTCTCTCCATTGAGCCACATACTCAGGGGTTGGCAAACTTTTCCTGTAAAGGTCCGGAGGTAAATAGTTCGTGCTTTGTGGACCACATCAGCCTGTCTCATGTTCCGCTTTTTTGTTTATCTTTAAACAATTCTTTAAAAATATAAAAACGATTCTTAGCAATATGCCTGTGCGAAAACAGACCATGGGCCACCTTTGGTTTGTATTTTAGATCTCCGACACAGATTTTGCCAAATCAAAATACAAACTTAATGAAATCGGTATTATGCTCAAGAAACCTTACTCTTTGTTAGCATACTTGACATTTTTGAATATTTACTATGTGTCCAATATTGTCCCAAGTTCTTTACAGGTGTTGACTTACTTCATTCTCACTGCCACTCTGTTCGACAGGCACTATTATCAGCCCCATTTTCCAGACGGGGAAAGCGAGGTGCAGGAGGCTAAGTAACCTTCCCAAGACCACGTGCCCAGTGGGTAGCACAGTCGGGATTAAAGTCCAGGCAGTTCAGCACCGGAGCATGTGCGCTTAACCATCTGTATCTGGGTTGGGAGCATTGACTTACCAGCTATACTTCCGGGAGGAAGAGGGTGCGGGGAGCTCAGAGTAACCCTGAGAAGCTTCAGGAATGATATATTAGCTAAAGGGGCACGGGGACAGGCCACCTGTGCTTCATAGAGAATCGCCAGGCTGGAGACCGTGGCGGCCTTCCTCCGTGCCTCACAACAGAGGATATGCACGGGATTGTGGAGGAATCTTGATGTGAGAGAAACACTTGATTGGATCTCATTAGATTTTAATCATAAACTGAATTAAAAATAAACTGAAAAATGGTTGACAGAGTGCAAACAAAGGGTGATGCTAAATGGTGATGCGTCTAGCGAGGGATTTCTTCCAGGGGCTGCCTCTGAGGCAGGGGCGGATGGGATTCAGTGAAGGTGTTTCGTCCCTGGAAGAGGGCAAACGGCAAGAAGGGGAAGGGCAGGGTGGGCAGCCTGGTGACCGATAGGCCGGATCACCAGCTCCTAAATAATCAAGGCTTGCTATTCACCAACTGCTTGCATTTTTTGAGCATCTTTCGGGTCAACAAGGGCTGAGGAGTCCTAGAGACATGATATCAGTACTTTACAGCAGGGGGGATCCTCAGATATTTCCAATCACAGATTCTCAAGGCCTTACTTCATTCCCCAGGGAGTAATTTCTTTTAAACTAAAGGTCTAAAAGTCACAGTTAAAAAAAAAAATCTTTGAACTCATTAACAGCCTTTGTTTACTGCCCAAATGCATGCAAGCTTTCACATCGGTTTGCTTTGTGGAAGCCGGACGGATTTGAGTGAACTGCTTGGCTCAGGTTCAGTTCCAGTGAAGAAATACTTCCAAGTCTGTGAGCAGAATTTCCCAGACGGAGAAGCCCTTCCGTTGGCTTGACAGAGGACAGGAAGCAGTGGGGGCCCGGGAGATGGGGGACACTCACTGGCCCTTGTTCTTCGGACCTTGCAGTGCGACTCAGGCTGCAGGCGGCCCCTGACCTGACCCCTGTGTTCGCTCAGGAACTCTGAGCTGCTGAGCAAGGGGGTGACGAGATTAATGGGAATTTACAAGGCTGATGATAAACATTTAGGGAACAACCTCAGACCAGCCAAGGGGAGTTTGTTTGCTCAGTTCTGTTTCAGGTAAGGTTTAATTCATCCCAGGCCCCAGGGTGAAGGAGAGGAAGGAAGTGGGGATGGAAAGGAGGCAGGGAGAATGGGGGAGGAGAGAAGCCAGGAACGTGGGGACACCCTGAAGGACCTCAGCAAAAGATTGCCCTTCACTGGTGTTTCGAGACTTAAATTGTGATTTTTATGTATCACTAGTCTGAGAAGGGGCAGGTGGGAGGAAAGGGAAGCACAAATAAGGTAAACGGCAGCCAAGCCAGGAAGACAGCACAGAGGAGAGGCCAGAGGCGGGCGGGAGCAGCGACGCGGGAGGCGCAGGAAAACAAGGGAGCAGAGAAGAGCCGAACCTCCCTCAACACAGGGGAGCTTCCAAGGCCCCAGCCAGGGGAGACACTGGGGCTGGGGTTCCCATCAGTCCCACCCTAAGCCGCTGGGTTCCAGCTGCCCCTTCAGCCAGTTTACAACTTCCGGTCTCCAGAAAGGTCCGGGCGCACGTGCACACATGCACACCCACGCACGCGCACCCACGCAGAGGCAGAGCGGTAGGAGGCTTGCTGGGAATAAGACACAGAGAACGTCAGAGGGAGGAAAGGTCAGCCTGGGCCTCGTGAACTAAAAGTATCTTGGTGACGACCCTCCGGGAGAAGCAGGAGAGGCCAGGGGAGCTCTGGGATCCGAACCCTCGGCTGCTTTCTTGCGCAGGCACCAGAGAACTGTTTGGGTTAGGAAATGTGATCAAACGTTAGGGGTCATTTCGTTGAGTCTGAACGGAATTTAAAGTTTAATGTAAAAAAATAAAGTTTAATGTGCCTCATCAGCGCTTTTTCTTTTTTCTGCAGCAGTTGTCTGCAATTCATGTTTTTAAAGAAAACATGATCAGAAATTGCCTGCAGCAGAAAAATGATTTGAATTCAGGGTATTTCTGAGATTTAGATTTTGCAATATCTAAATTGCAGCTTTAATTTAGACAAACTGTCCTCCTAGTCTATCTCCCTGAGTGCCTGTTAGAGAATGTGTACAAACACGACGGCGTCCCCCTACTCTCAGCACACCCTAAAGCCACCGACCCTCAGTCCTGAGACCAGCAGGCTTACTAGTGGCCCATCTTTGCACCTCCAAAGACGGCAAGCCTGACGAAGAGCCTTCTCCCGTGCAGCAGCTCACGCCCAGACCTCGTGCCAGGCTCGCCCCCCTTGCGGTGCGGCTCCCACATGGACCATGGAGCCGCCACGCAGATCAGCAATGATGCCGGGGGTGGGGGGTGGGGGGAGTGCTTTCTGGATAAAAGCTCTGCCGGCAGGCTAGCGGCAGTCACCCTCACATCAGATGTGGCTCATTGTTATTTGAAAATAAAGTTGATGACTCATCACAGAACCATCTAAAAACACGACCAGGACTACACCAGGGCCTTGACATTCCACAGAAGCATCTTAGCAATACCTGACCAGCCAGGGCCTGTTGGAACTGTGTTGACTGAGCGTAACTGCCCTAAAGGAACAACAACAATTTTAAAAGAGTACTGGTTTGGAAAAGGTTAAGGATTCTGTGTGTCTGCCACCTAATAACGTGTCCCATCAGAGTCACCGCCCTGGCATGGCATCAGGACGCGCTTCGGAGCCCCCTTAGCCTTCCCGCGCAGTGAGGGTCTAGTCCCCGTTTGGTTTCCAGCCCCAGCTGTCAGCAGCTCAGCCTCAAGCCGGCCTGTCTGCACCCTCCCTGGCCTGCTTGACGCTGTGGGAAAGTGCACAGGACAGGTAACCCCGACGGGACACCAGCCAAGTCAAGAGACCCTGTTTCCTCCTCTTCAGCTGGAGCCAATGACAAGCCTGCCCGGCTCTGTGCCTGGAGACAGGGCAGCGAACTAGAAGTCAACGCAGCTTTTGGGGTGGGAGGCTGGGCATGACGAGGCGTTTGCTGGTGCTCAGGGTGCCGGGGAGCGGACAGGAGCAGACACCGCATTCCTTTCCTTGGGGTCTGACTAGCCATCGAGGGTAGGAGGCAAAATCAATCCATTTTGATAGCCGGTAAACACAGCAAGTCTTCCCAGACCAGACTTCGCACAGCCTACCCGTCTGGGATGCTCAGTGCCCAGCCTCATTTTGTTAGACGGGAATTTAGACAAAATCATGTTAGTTTACTCGCCCCGTCCCCCAAAGCCCCTCACTCTTCGTTGGGGAAGAAATCCAGGCCTGGGGGACGAAAGTGAACTGCCTGGGTTCTAGAGCCGGCAAAGGGTGGGGACGCTTGAGAGCACGTTTCTGGTCCTTTTTACTTATTTGGTCCCCTTTTCTCTAAATACCCCCTATTCTAAGAGATCGTATTGAACTTGAAAGTCACATGAAGTTTGATCGCCTTCTAAAATCAAGTCGGGGCATTTCTCCCTGGTTTGCCCTGACGGCTCCGTCCAGTGCCAGCAAACGGCGGGGCTGCCGAGCGGCGGGACGCGGGCTAAGGGGCTGCCCGCGGCCAGCACGGAGCCGGGGGAGCTTCCTGGCCCGAGAACGGGGGTTGGTTATTTCTCGGCAAGAAGCAGGGATGAAGAAAGCCCGGGAGCTCCCCGCCCCCGGCTGCGTGTCCCTGGGCTGGAGGCCAAAGCCCTCGATCCCGGCCGTCCCTGCAGGAGAGGGGCCCATACCCGACGGGCACCCGCGGGGACACCGCGAGCCAGGCCGACGGTGCGGGCACCTCCCCTCCCCCAGCTGCCCGCCTTGGCGCGCCCGTCTGAAATCCCGGACCGCCAGCCCCGCCTCGCAGCACAGACCCAACGTCTCGGCCCAAGTCGGCCTCCACGGCACAGGTTCGAGGCGGGGAGGGGGCGGTCCGGGGAGGGAGGCACCGGCGTTCTGGAAAATGCACCCGCGGACGCCCAAGGCGGGCGACAGCTCCGAGCGACGTACCTTAGAACCACCGCGGGCAGACGGCCGGCCGGGCACCGCTGCCCGTCGCTCTGCTCCACCTCCGGTCGCGCCGGCCCCCCTCCACCCTCTCCGGGCCCAGGTAAGCGGCCGAACCGGCTTCGAAGCAGGAAGCGGAAGTCGTATGCAAATTTCTACTGAGGCCGGGCGAGCCGCAGCCCAGAAACTCCCTGCGGGCGGTGAATCAACGGCCGAGAAGCCACTTTACTCAGAACAGAAACCTCGTTCACCAGAAAAAGCTGCAACCAATTGGGCTGCATTTTCGTTTTCACCACCCAGCTAGGTCAGTGCCAGGCCCGGCCCCGCAGCACAGCTCCCTCCGGAGAGGCCCCTGGGGGCGCCTGGGTGCCGGGACTGGTCATTCATCAGCACCACCGAGGGGGCAGATAGCCGAGTGGGAAGCGGGGGCTGCTTGCTATCTCTGCTCTTACCAGGAGGGACCCCTGCCCCATCCACAGCCATGCGACGGTGGCTTTTAAGCGCGCGCGCGCGCACACACACACGCACACCGTCCTCTGCTGCTGACCTCAAGTCTATCTCCTCTCCTTCCTTCTTGTTTAGTCAGTAGCCTGCAGAATTTACTGCTGAAGGAGCTGCTGGAGGCAGGATGGCCGAGGAAGACATGTGATGGGGGCCTGGCAGCCAGGGCGCGGCCGAGGGACCCGGTGTGACCTCCGTCTCACCACAGGCCAGCGGCCCGCAGCCGGGTGCCTGGGCAGGTGCGCTGAGCCCCCAGTGCTGGCCCTGCCTTCCCCTGAGGAGGCGTGACGTTAGCCCTGCCGGCCTGCTGTCTGCCCACCCTGTGCAATGTACAGGCCCCAGCCACCCCCATTCCAGCTGCCCGGGTCTGCCCCCGCGGCTGCTCTGCCTTCCATGGGCAGAGGGAATGTGGCTTGTTTTTGAAATAAAATAGCAGGTTGCATACATTTTGGTTTGGTTTTATAATGGAATACTATGCAGCTATTAAAAATCGTAAGTATTTCTACATACTAATATGGAAAAGTGGTTTTGAGATATTTACTGAGAAATGTGACCTCATTTGCCAACGTATATGACAGATACATGCACACACACATTTGTGTGTCCCAGCACAAGCACAGTGCCCAGAACCCAGCAGGTCATCGCCGGGTGGCCGTCCAGCACTGAGATGAGAGGGCTGTTGTGCTGCTCACACATACAGGCCGTTTGGTTCCTGTTCCCCCACAATAAGCATATTTTGAAAAGAATAGTACTTACTACCTCGGCCTCAAACTTTCTGTCTCACAATTATATCATGAAAATCTCTTAGGTCAGGGAAAACGAGCGTTCTCTGTGGTGCTGCTGACCCCAGGGGACCTTGAAACGCAGTCGGGAGATAAGCGCGCAGGGGGAAGGAGCTGCCAGCAGGCGGAGGGCCCAGGGCGGCGCTGTCTCTCCTCTCTCGCCCGTGATGCCTGCCAGGTGCAGCGTTGGGAGGCGGCCCGTCAGGGGGAGCGGGTGCCATCCTCTTCCCGTTTCCCTCTCCTACTGTACCCAGACAGGAGGCCGCAGGGCTCCCGGGAAGTCGCCAAGTGCTGAAGGGCCCCTTTCCACTGGCTGGGCCATCCTCCTGCCTCAGTTCATCCCTATGGAGGGGCAGGTGCTCGGGGAGCGAACGGTTCCCTAGGGGGCCCTCACTGGGTCCCGCTGAAAAGCAGCCTGGGGATGTGGGCTGTTCAGGGGGGGCTCTGCACAGAGAAACCTGCCTGAACGAGCCCGAGGCGCCCCCAGTGACTGGGTCCCGGACGGCTGGGAGTCTGGGAGACGCGCCCCTGTGCCCAGGAGTGCCCACTGGGTTTTCAGACCAGCGCTTACACCTGGCCCCCCTCATGGGGGAGGGCTCCCCACACACGTGCCGTTAGCACGCTGGTCCCAACCGTCCGGGACTCGCGTCCGTCTGACTCCCACTGTGCCTCTGAGGAATCCACTGTCACGCATCTGGGTGTGGATGGCTCCAGAGCTGCCCCTCCCTGTGCATGTGGCCTCTCCTCCCTCGGCTGCCCCGCAGTGGCCGCCCCTATGCTCGTAGGTGGAACACGGGAAACTTGCTGCCTTTGCACAACTCTGGACAACAGTCACGCAGAAAGAAAGGTGGAGGCCTTACAAAAGCCGGGCTTAGCCACCCTGGCGGTATGTCGATGCAGAGGCCGCTGCTGGTACCACAGGGACAGCGGCCACAGCCCGCTTCCTCCAGCTCACAGCCTGGGGGGCGGGCTTGTGTCTACCAGAGCCCGGCGTTGCTCAGTGTTCTTGCAGAAGGCAGATAAAGGTGAAGGTCAGCTGTCCCCGACTCTGTGAATGAGACGAGACGAAACCAGCCCAGACCAAGCCACTCGCACCTGATGTTCCACAGCATTAGTCTATGAAATGAAGATGGGAAAGATTCATCCCTTGGACAAGCCTCGATTTTCCATTTTTAAATGCTACAATTTCGAGGGCTGAAAGGAAAAAGTGAAGCTACGGCAACCCCTAGGACGAGAAGGAACCTCTGAGGCCTCAGACCCCGGGGCAACACCCCACCTGCTTGGGTGGGCAGTGGCAGGAAGAGAGAAACACCCAGGCCCCAGGGGCTGGTCCTCGCAGGGTGTTCCAGTCCCACACCCTTCAGAGAGGGCTTGCCTTGCTCCAGACACGCTAGATGCGCAAGGTGTGCAAACGGAGGGGTTCTCAACACAGTCTGGGGCCTCCCAGAAGTGAAAGCTGTGGACATGGAGGCAGTTCTGAACCAGCCGGCCACCAGCTGCTTCTCCACGGCTTTGGTGCCCGCTTACCATCCAGGGGGCTACCAGCCCCTGGCAGATGCCAGAATCCATCACTGTCTTCCCCATGAGCCCCAGCAGGCCAGGAGCTCCATCCTTCTTGGTGAAATCCCCCCTGGAACGGATCCATCCTGACCTGCTTAATGTAGCAGAGGTGCTGGTAACACAGACCCGCACCAGGAAAGGGTTTGCTCCGGTTTCTTTCTCCCCAAGAGGTCCCTTCCCCACAGTGCAGATTTCGTCTTTTGTCCATTCACTCACCTGACAGTATCTCCTTCCCTTCCTAAGGGGACACTGGGAACACAGCCGCAGAAGGCACGCCATCCCGTGGCCCCAGGCAGTGAGTGCCTACTGACCTTAGAGTTGCATACTTTAGGGGGAGCACTCTAAGGCTCTGGAGAAGCCAAAGATTACCTGCCCCAGGGTGACTCTCCTCTCGGTCAGCTGGGCCTGAGGCGGTTGGCAGCTTCCCCTGCTAAAAATGATTCAGTCCTATCCTGCTAGAGTCCTCATCTCTGCCAGCACGGGAAGAAGAGCTGACCTCCGGTTCTGCTTATTAAGCGCTAGAGGCCATCTAAGAAAGGTGCATTTCCTCATTAACATTCACAATGCCACTAAGAGGCAGGGGTGGTAAGGTTGCTACCACTACTGAGCATGTTCTATGTGCCAAGCTGTTTTCATTATCTGCCCAAGAAAGTGAAGTATAGTAAAGTGTTTCTCAGGATTCCAACAGCTGCTCACCAAGGGAGAAGCAGATGGAGACCAGGTTTGCTTCCTAGGGGCTGAATACAGCGGGCGAGGCAGAGGAGAGGAGAGTTCAGAGAGGCACAAGCAGCAGACGGCCGGCAGGGTGGCAGCCAGAGAGCTTCAGGAGGAAAGGATGCTTGAGCCACTTGCCTAGAAAAGGCTGGGATTTAACCCGTGCAATCTAAGTCCAGGCTCTGGGCTCTGTGCCCTAAGTCCTCCACACTAGAAACCACCTTCCCTTTAACAAGCAAGTGAAGTGACCACCTCCTGCATCCCACAGGAAGTATGGCGCGACCCGAGCACACCCAGGAGCCCCGGATAGCAGGGCTGGAGTTAATAGTCGCCTGCCTATTCTGACTGAGGGTCCTGGTCCCTAAAGCCGTCCTGCCGGTATCTGCTGCCCTCGCCCTTCCCTCAGCAATGCCAGAGCACCGTCTCCCCTGTTCCAAAGCACACCCAGGCCCAAACCAGCTCGCCAACCCTGCCTTTAAGGGTTTGGGGTGGCCAAATAACAGATAACAGAGGCCAGGACCCGGCAGAGCCCAGCAAAGGGCCGCAAATTCACAACAGGGCAGGCTGATTGCAGCTCTACATTCACAGGGGTGGGGCAGGAGCACAGAGGCCTGTCTGGCCTGAGGGCTTCAGCCGTGGGCAGGTTCACTGTGGACTCAGTGAGACTGAGAAATGACAACGTTATGTCCCTGGGGTAAAAGGGGTCATACCTGGCTTTGTTCTCCCGTTGGAAGGTCGAGCACTAGGATCCTGTCTGCATCCAGCACCTGCAGGTCTGTGGTCCGCCTCCGTCTCTGCCTTCGCCCAGCGCACTGGGTGGAGCTCTTTCGTACTGACTCAGCCAGCAGTAGCTCATTGCCCGCGGGTGTGGCAGCTGTAGCCTAGCAGCAGGCCAGTTACGCCATCAAGTGGCTTAGGGTCAGCTGAGGATCCTGGCCCAGGAACTCCCGTTTTCCCCACCAGGCCCCAGCTCTCACTCTCCTCTTCCTAAAACAAGCTCACCCCATGCGCAGGGGCACAGCCGGAAAGAGGCCACATCAGAGCCCTCTGCAGCCATAGTTCTAAAATTTCTCTACGTATTAGAATCTCCTGGGAGCTCTGCTAGTGGACTCAGTATCTTAAAAAGTTTCCCAGGTAATTGCGCTGTCACACCCATACTCTCAAACAGCTGTTGTCACGAGTTAGCATCCACGTAAACTGCCCGGGGCACTCTCGGAAGGCAGGTTCTGGTTCAGGAAGGCGGGGGTGAGGCCTGGGATTCTGCATCTCTAACCGGCTCTCAGCTGCTCCTGAGGCTGCTGGCCTGTGGACCACAGTTTGAGTAGCAGACGCCTAAGCACAGGGCTCCTAGGTGGTACCTCCTGAGGCCCCTCAGCTTTGCCGACATGAAGACCCTCTCAATGGAATTACCAATGCCCTTAATCCCTGACCTCGGCCATTTCTTTGGAGTCTGTTCTGACCTCTTTCATTTTACTCTGGGCATGTCTGTCTTATTGCTGGGGAAGCCCCCCCCCCCC